ACCCATTGGATCAGGCTGTCCAGGCACCCATCCAGCCTGGCATTGATGCCTCCAGGGATGGGGCATCCACAGCTTTTCTGGGTAGCCTGTGCCAGTGCCTCAGCACACTGAGTGAAAAATTTCCTCCTAATATCTAATCTAAATCTTAGAATCATAGAATTGGCTTGGGTTGGAAAGGACCTCAACGATCATCAAGTTTCAAACCCACAGCCACAGGCAGGGCTGCCTGCCACTAGATCAAGTACTAGATCAGATCAGATCACCGAGAACCCCATCCAACCTGGACTCAAACATTTCCATGGATAAGGCATCCACAGCCTCTCCATGCAACCTGTTCCAGCATCTCACTACTTGATCAGTAAAAAGCTTCCCCCTGACATCCAGTCTAAATCTCCTTTCCTTTAGTTTAAATGAAACTGTTGAAGAACACTGGTCCCAAGACGGATCCCTGGGGGACACCATTCATCATCAGCCTCCACTCAGACACAGAGCCATTTATCATAATCCTCTGGCTATGACCATTCCACCATTCCAGGCACAGACATGAGGGTCTCTGGCCTACAGTTCCCTGGGTCTTCCTTTCTCCCTTTCTTAAAAATGTAGATGAGACTTTAGAAAAGAAGATATAGCTGTCCTATACAAAAAATATATTTTGGTGAAGTATGCAAACTGCTATGAAGGGATAAGAAAGGAGAATTTAAACAATTCCTCCCTTAAGATGTGTCAGATAATTCACTATCAAGCAAAGCATATGTCCCAACACTTCCCAGATGTTCACTGTGGGGAAAGTATCCTTGGATAGATTAAAATAGCTTCAGTCAGATTTTCTGTCAGTTTTCCAAGCAAATTTCCAGCAGTAGATATTTTCAGCTGCTAAACACTAGTTACAGTCACACCAATGGGGGAAAAAAGGACCTTTGAACCCAAAACAGACCTAAAACTTATTATGATTCTGAAGTGTGCTATGCCACTTCAATGATACATAATTAACAGGTAATGAGCAGTTGTTTCTATGACAGCTGCTAATTTCAGAGTAGACCCTAATCTATCAGGGAGGGAAAAAGGCCAAATTTTATTTTTTTAACATTGAATGAAATCTGTACTTTCTAGTTATTACTTCAACTTTGAAAATTGTCCCATATCATCACAGTTTTAATGTGCATGGGTTAATCAAGAAGTCATAAACTGAATACTGTTAACAAAATATTTTAGAAATACCAGAGAATTGTCAAATATAATTTATTACATTTTATATAACAAGGGCTAGTGAGAAAACACCTTTGCTTGTCTTTCAGTTTTAAAGGAAGGAAAAGGAAAAAGAGTACAAAGTTATTGTAAATCACTGTTAGTTATGACCCAGTAACTAAAAAGTTGTGAAGGTACAGGCTATTAATAACCAGAGCAAACCTGGAAAAGGAATTACTAAAACTAAGTTAGATAACTAATTTCTGTCTAATACTCAGATGCAATTAAATATCTTTCACATCATCTCATATCCTTTCTGTCACTTTTTCCAGAACACAGGCTTTCCATTTATTCAGAAAATTATGTTTTGCAGAAATTTTTCCCAGAAAAGACAGAAACTGAGGTGGAATTTCATTGTTGTTCCTGAGCACTGCAGTGCCCTCTCTTTCACAGGAGAGGAAAGGTTGAACTCATTGCCCTCCATGCACATACTATGCATCAAAACTATTTAGCAGCAAACTGTCTACAGCTAGCACATCAGAAAGCAGTAACCCAAAGTGGGTGACATTTTTCAGTGCTTTACAAATTCATCTTCCATAAAGAGTATGGTATTGTTACACTGTGTGATATTGGTTTGTGTTTATATTGATTCCTGCTGCCATCTAGGCCAAAGGCACAGATACTGTGGTTTACACTGGACCCAGTGTTATCAAAGAGCATGTCTTCAATTTGAAATGAGCATATTATTGAGGAGCTACTTGTATATGATTTAACTAACATTCTCCCCTAACATATTTCTTTATTCTGGATTTAGTGTTACATAAAATACCATGCCAAAATAGCCCAATGATTACTGCAAATATAGCCTGGTAACTTACTGTAAATCTTAATTTTAAATTTGTTTTATTCTGTCATTTCATTAGAGAAAACCATCACCACAACAAAAACCTAAAAAAAAAAAAAAAAAAAAAAAGTCCTAAGGTAAACTTAATAGCTTTGAAACATAAAATAGGAAACCTTTCAAAACTGAATCCACTCTTCGAGCCATTCCACAGCTTTCCAAGTATTTTGCCACCAGCTTCTTTTAATGGCATAAGGCTTTAGTTTGTTTGACTGCCAGGTTATGGTAATGAGCTACAGCTTCTTGTATGATCTTTTTGTAGAGTGAGATAAAGACAAACTTGTAAAGTTCAGAGTTTTGACTGTGAGGTTTGTGGTTTAGAATATAGATTCCCCCCCCCCACCTCTTTGTCAGTAGAGTGTTGCTTAGCATTTTTGGTAGACAGCAGACAGCCAGGAATAGGACCTAAATAATTTGACTATGAAGAGAGACATCAGTGTTGTTTGATCTTTAGACAGAGTGAATAATGATTATTGGGAATAACTTATTCTGAGTTTGGCAAATGTTCATGAAGCCTGCATCCTAGCATCCAGACCCTTCTTGAAAAAATGCAAGTTCAAACAGGTAATGAAAGCACATTTTCATCATTATATCAGTAAGCGATGGGCTTATTTCAGCACAGCATCCTTAAAATATCCATGAGTCGTTGGTTTTTCCAAGCTGTTTAAAGTGTTACTTAAAGTATCTCAGATCTTACAGCTCTAGTATTTTCACCCATTATATACATTGTCTTCAATTTCCTTTCACAATACTAAGCATAAAATAGTATTTGCGTGAGTGAAGCTATGTTCTTGCCTGAACTCCTCCATCATGACGATAGAGGACCACAAATTAAAAAAGCTGTAGGAAGGAGGGTTGCTGTCAGTGGTTCTAACCATCTGTGGTCTGTATTCTCTAGCATGGGAATAATCTTTGTGACGTGGAGAAGACATGAGTCTTCTCACGTCTTCTCATGAGCTGGAAAAGGGACATGGCATCCCTAAGTGCCTGGTGAAGAATCTGCATAACAGTTTTTCAACATTAATTCGAGAACTCTTGGCATTGAGCATGCTGCTATTGTACCAACTGTCTTCTATATAGTCCTCTGGTGCTTTTTAAGTTGTGCTGAAAGGAGTTGTGCAACAGACTAGGAAGAGTCTGGCAGCATTAATAAGCATGAAATTAAATGCTCTTAGGCATCTCAATGCATTTGGAGGATTTGGTTACAATTCTGACTACTGGGAGTCTGAATTGCTTCTGAGAATCCTCTACAGCTCCAGCTCCCCTGGGGGGGAAAGCTTCAAACTGAGATCTGTTTTAGTATTTGTTTTGCTGCTGCCATAAATTCCAAACCAGTAACACCACGTACCTTTTTGCTCTCCTGAAGTAATCTCTCTTCTGGAGGCTAGTTCTTTATATCAGTCTCTTAGGGTCACATTTCTGCATTTTGTCTGACGTAGAACAGGACCATATTCTTCACCTTGAGAGTTCAGAGTTACTGAGTGTGAGCAGCTGTCGGATCTTTCTGCTGCTCTGGGGTGCAGACTGGACTGACTTCTTTTGAATCTGATTTTACAACTCTGGCATTGAAAATAGATGTGCACTTTTAACACTGCTATTAATTTCCATGGACCGACTTGCAAAATAGCATACTTCTGGAGTAGAAGTGCATAACCTTTGAAATTTCCATGACACTAAATGTGGCTTTGAAGCATTTAAATAAATTATGTTGAAATTAAACATCCCTCATCATGCATAAAAGCCTCTTCTATTTTTTTTTTTCCCCTCCTTCCGTACTGAGAACCATTTAACAGCTGGCTAGTACTTTATCATTGATTATGAAGGAGGAAACCTCAACTCACCTGCAGGTATCATTTGTTTGTATGTGGTAGGTGAGGGCTGGATGGAACTTTTTTTTTCATCTCGGTAGGACACTGTATGTTCTCCCCTTTTCTAAGCATAATTATCATTGAAAAACCTTACTATGTTTTGTGCTTGAAATGTCAGTTAAGTAAAAATAACTTTGAAAACTCTGCCTCTTTGTGTACTATAGCTGGAGGGAATGCAGTGTGTATCTTGCTAGCTCAATAGGGATGATTATAGAGCAAGAGCTATTGATAGGAAAACTACCAGCTGTTTGAAAATGTTATTTTAGGAATTAGAGCAAAAACAGGTAAAATAGAGACATTTTGGAAACATCTATAGAGAAGAGGTGCTGTTTAAGAATTGTTTAAAAATGTTGAAGTCTACCACTTAACACCCAGGACTTGTAAATTATTTGAGAGTATGTATGCCTTAGACCTTTTTCATTAGCTTGATCCGCTAAAACAAGCAGTCATGTTTTTGCTGTAGTGGTTATCGGTTATTGGCACTGGTAACTGGAGAAGCTGATGACTTTGTGAGTGATCATCCATGATCTGTGTGACCTTGAAAGTCGGCAGTTTATTAAAAATGAACCTGGGGGAAAAGTACAAGGTACAAGGGCTTTTTTAGTACACGAACATATAGGAGCAATGTTGGACTTGAACAGATAGCACACTGATCATGAGTACACTAAGACTGTTAATGTCTAAATTTCTTGCTCCTGTCTTCCAGTCTTGCTGAATTTCATTTGCCAAAAGGGAAAAACAAATCTATAGTCTAATTCCTAGAGGGTCTTGTGCATGGAAATTAGGTGTGTGGCAGGAATTAAATGTATACTGAAGTAATAAAAGGGTTTTCTACAGACTAGCACAGACTATTTGCACAAGGAAGGATCCTCAAACATTAGAACAGGTGCTCATTTAGGAATACAGACCTCTCTGCATCCAGAAATAGTAAAGCATGCTGAATTTTGCAGTGATTTACGAAGAATAACAGAAAGAGCATTCTCTTGTCTTCTCCTCCCCGAGGTGCTGGCATCTCCCCTGTGACACTCTATCTCTTCCTTCTTTAGTTCTCATCACTCACAGAAAACAGATGTTTGACACTGGTAAATCCTCAGAGGATGAAGATGTTTCTAAGTAGGTTTGCTGCTCATGGGACCTTTCAGCCTGAAGAAAAATGTTGTCATTGTTGTCATAAACATTTCTCAAAACCTAAAAAGTGAGAAAGAAAAGGTCAGTACTTTCCCCTTTTTTTGTTTTTTTTTTTTTTTTTTGTTTGTTTGTTTGTTTGTTTGTTATTATTATTTGTATTTCTTCTGGTCAGCTCAAATGAAAAAGAAATAAATCACTCTAGGATGTTAGCTGTTATTATTTTGGAGGAAGGGGAGAGGGGACAATAAAGTTTTTGGTATCAACAAAAAAGCTGAAGTGCAACCAAGAAAGGATATTTGTGTAGAAATTTATCTGACATAAAGGCATTTTTCCCTTCCCTTCCCTTTTCTTCCCTTCCCTTCTCTTTGATTTTCTAAAAAGTTTAGCAATTTTTTTTAAAGGCAGAAATAGAATGGCCTGTGTTCCTGAATGTCCTGGATGTTGTAAAATACAGATAAAATTGGTAGAAAGTTAACTGTAAAAGAAACAGAGTTAAACTGCATCTTATGCCAGATAGGAATCTTTGGTAAGCTTCGTGCACAGAGGCAGGTAGGTAGAGGAAACACATAAAGAGATCAGCTCTGCTGAGCATTAAGCAGAGTGCCATGAGCCACAGCAGGGAGTAAGCAGAGGAGTGGGTCAAGGACAACTGGGCAATCTACCAGTAATGGATGAGCAAGCTCAGACAGCTCATAGAAAAAGCAGCAGCTCAAGACCAAATATGCTGAAAATAGGAAACATTCTCTTTTTCGGTTTGCAATGTTTTTGTTTTGTTTTGTTTTGTTTTGTTTGTTTGTTTTGTTTGTTTTTCCTTAAAATACAAAATAAAATTGTTGCTTCAGAAGGTGTGGAGGAGGAGGAAGCAGGGAATTGGCAGTAAGCTTTTTGAAATACCCATTATATGATCATAAAGCTATTTGTATTGCTGCTGATTAAATTATTTTAATAAGCCTACATGCCCTATAAAAAGGATTGGGAGGATATTTTTAAAGACTTCAGTCTAGAAAAGCAAAAGCAATTTCTAAATATTTTATACACAATGATAGACTTTATTATAGAAAAAATTAGTAGCGAATGCTATTAGCTATTGGATTATTGTGCTGCTCCCTGTAAATGAAAACAGTTTGATATTTCTCTTTGTAATTGCTTGGTTGCTTTATGGAAGATTTCCTTTGGCACTAGTGCTTTCTCTGCTGTGTACAGGGTTTCATAGTGGAGTTAGCTCACATTTCAGCAAACGTGACCAGGTCTCATCTGGGGACATGCTGCGACATTCTGTGAGACAGCTTGGTGCTGCCTGGGGACTTCTGGGCAGGATGCTCTTCTCATGCCCCTGCTGCATCATGCTTGCCATACGCAAACCTATGGGCTCTTGCTAGCTGCCTCATATGGTCCAGCAGAACCATTTCCATCCTAAAGCACTTGTCTGTGAAGCCCCAGAGGCTTCCTGATGTTGTTTTGTCCCAAAGGTCAAATGGACCTTAGGTGACTTCTGCTCTTGGGGTGATGTGACCCAAGAACTGCTTGCTAAGTGGCCTCACTGGGAATTAATTCATGTTTAGAGGGCTTAACTGCTGCTTAACACATGGTGGTGCTTTGCTTTTCTTGGGCTTTATTCCAAATTACTGAATTCATCAAGACATCTTCTATTCAGTTCCAAAGACCCTGAATGAGGTTTTCTGGTTATATTTTTAACCTAGAGGTCTTTGACATTTTAACCAGCATCTTTATGTTTCGTGTTTCATTCCTTGGTATTGGTGGTATTATTTCTGCAGACTCTTGTCAAAAATTTATTAAAAGTTCCCTTGATAATGTATCTTTAGACCAATCTGCCTGGTTTAAGAGGAAAGCATATAGAATCAGAGAGGATGGAAATTATTACTATGGAAAGTAAGGGTGTTCGTTCTCTTTGTAAGCTTTAGGACTGAGTATATGAAATAGTCTCGAAATATACAAAACATTTTTCCCCCCATGTTTGCAGAGATTGGTTGTTTGCTGTTTGTGATAATTGTCAGTGCAGATTCTATAAAGCTGTGCTTAACGTATTCATCTATTAAGGTGCAGTTGAGCACTCGTGACAGTGCCTGAATGCAGCTTTTCTGTCTACAGGGTACTGTGTCCAAGTTTGGTCTGCGGCCCCCAGCACAAGAGGGATGCAGAGCTGTTGGAGCAGATCCTGAGGAAGGCCATGAAGATCAGAGCGCTGGAGCACCTCTCCTTTGAAGAACGGTTGAGGGAGCTGGGCTTGTTTAGCTTGGAGAAGGTAAAGCTCTGTGGACACCTCATTGCAGCCTTTCTGTACCTAACCTAATGGCCTGTAAGAAAGCTGGGGAGGATCTTTTTGTCAAGAAGTATAGTGGTAGGACAAGAGGGAATGGCTTTAAACTGAAGAGGGGAGATTTATATTAGGTATTAGGAGGAAATTCATTACTGAGGGGATGGTGAGGCAGTGGAACAGGATTCGCAGAGAAGCTATGGATGTTACACTAGAGCACAACTCTGTGTGGCCTGAAGTCTCTTCTGCACTGTCCCCAAAATACCTGGCAGGACAAATGAACACACAGGGGAGGATCTCTACATTTAGAGAGCCTGGCCCAAGCCATTGCTAAACTGTATGACTAGTTCCACTTTTGTTTGTGTAGTTATAGCCACAGTGTTGTAGGTGGTTTTAATCATATATTACTTCTCACTGTCACGATTCTTTGTTGATATTGAGGACCAAACTTTCCAAAGCATTTATGTACCTGTAACCAAATATGAATAGTTTCAAAAATAATTTAGAAGCAAAGCACCATACTCTTCAGTGGGAGTTGGATACATAGAAAAAGAACACCTGACTCCTATTTGCATGGGTTGCCTTTTTCAACATCATAACCTGAAGCAGTAAGTACCATTTGTCAATTTCTTGCATACCGTGAACCTTCAAGGTCATGCTGTGAAAAGATCCGTGCAACAGGTGAAAGCATCCTTTGGTTACTGTGTTCTCCCTTCTGCATGATTTTCCTCTGATTTAAGCACAGGGAACTCTGCAGCAAAGGGCAAGCTTTGCTGGGCTGTTTCCTGTGGATTTGTGGTGAGATTGCCATTGAAAAAAAGTACATGCTTTGAAAGCATAAACAACTCACCATCCAAGCAGTAATTCAGGTCTAATACAGTGCCACTTTTCTCATTTAGAAATGAGAAATAACATAAAATGTGAAAGCAATATGCTGCCATCAGGATGCTAAGTACAGTTTTGTAGCTTGAGTAAATAAATCTTAATTAAGAATTTGAGCGTATATTTTCATTTTTTTTCCTTCCTCTTCTACCTCCAAGAATTTGACTGGAATATAATGAAAAACTGCAAAAAATTAAAAACCTAGGGAAAAAAAATCCACACAAAACCCAACCAGTAAATGAAAATAATGAGGTTTTCTTCCTCTTAATTGTAGAACATTCCTATGGGTGTGTGCGTGCACATATGTCCTTACAAATATATGCATGTAAGCATATAAAGAAGAGATGAACATGTTCAAACGTTCTTAGCTGCTTAGGGCGCAGACATATCCATAAAAATCAAATGGCAGTCTTTTGTAATTCAATTTGTTTTGTAATGAAATCTAAAGCCAAACAAAGTATGTGCATTGTTCTATTTAATATGACCAATAAAAATTTATATATTTCCCTTGAATTTATTCTGAATTACATTATTGCAATAAATAATTACAGCACATCTGATTGAAAGAGGAAAGGATCAGATTTGGTTTTCATACAAGCTTTGGGCTGTGATTGAGCAAGCTTAAGAGTGAAATGTCTTTAGCAGAGCAGCATTATGTACAGAAGATTTTTTTAGACCTGAGCCACTTAAAATAATTCCAGTGGAGTGCTAAGGGCTAATTTCCAAGTAAGGAGGATCACTTGGTATTTACACTTACATAAGAAGTTGCTCCCGATAGCAAATGTAACATTTCAACTACAGCAACCCAAACCATAAGATGTTTGAGTTATTTTGATTCAAATGATCAAGAAAATTAGATTTAAAACATCTTGAAACAAAAAAGTGGGTTGTCAGACAAGGCACTGGTGTTCCTGACCCTACGTACACATGCTGGTGCTCGTGTACACATACATGCTTTGCATTCAAACTGCTGTTGCAAGTGAGATGAGATTATCTGTCACTGCTTGTGACAGCTGTAACTCCAAAGCTGAAGAATTTGTCACAGTAATGCACTGTTGGCATCTTCTTCAGATCTCGTGTCAAATGTGAGAGTCCTCTGGGGATGCGTTGGATACCCTGGGGAATGTCAAATGTGATTAAATTTCTATGCATAAACAGCTGAATCCCAGCAAAATCTTCATTGCCTTTTACAACTTAGGGGCATTACAGGTGATTGTGTTTATGCAGTTAGATGTATACATCTAAACCTGCTAGCTGAATCCAACCAAACTGGCAAAAAGACTTGAGAAAAAAATTAGGTGCAATAGAAGATCTTCCTCAGATATATAGAATTGCTCAGATTAGGAAAGAATTTAGATTATCAAGTCCAACTGCAACCTAACCGTACTACCCTAACTCCAACCCTAACCCTCTGCTAAATGTGGTCACTGAGCACCACATCCAAATGGCTTATGCTAATCTCTAACCAGAATATGAGTTAACCAAGAACTGCCTCAAACAAATATATCTTGGAGAAAATTTGCTACAAAATTGTAACAAAAGAGGCAAAATAATGCAGGTGTCAGGATTCTTTCTGTTTGGTTCTATGCTATGGATGTGAGTAAATGTAAATTCCAACACTATTATTTACCTGTTTAGCAAGATGCTGTGGTAGTGTTTGCAGCATTTTGCTGTCTCTTCTAAAAGGGTATGCAGACAGCCCAACTCATGTAACTCAGAAACAGATCTAACATATTTGGGATAATAAGCCCTACACAGGATGTTTAATTTTGTGTCTATGTCAGCCTAAGAGCTTACTAAATTTGGGCATTTCTGCAGTGTGATCCACTATGTAATGCAAACAAACAAAATAGGTTTTGATTAATTGCTTTGAAGTCCTTGATGAAAAGAACTTCTGAAGGAAGGCATTGTTGCTTC